CAGGACCGGAGCCTCGGCAGGGTTTTCCGGCTGGGGGTTCCTGAGGGCCAAGGGCCGGGACAGGAGGAAGCAGAGACCCTCGCGGGGCTCCTGGCCCAGTTCCAGTCCCCGCTATGGGGAGAGGCCAGTGGCACCTGTGGTCTCTCACCAGGGACACCCACTTGCAGTCCACACCCTTGGCACCTCCAGGTTTGAAACCTGGCGAGATAGTACCTGTTTCCCAGAGGGGCAAACTGAGGTTCCATTCTCTGGCTGGCACTTCTGCACAGCCTCAGCGACGAGCTGCGCTGCTGTCATTGCACACATAGGGACAGGAACTCAGACAGGAAGAGGCAAGAGTGGCTCTGCCTGGCCCACCAGCCCTTCCTTCGCACAAGGGCCCAAAGAGGCTGCCCAGTGCACCCCCAACCCCTCACCTGCATTGCTGTATGCCTAGCCAAGGGGGCAGCAAGGAGGTGAGGTGAGGCTCTGCCCCAGAGACACAGGAACCCCAACACCAGGCCGAGATCTGCCCTGAAAAGGAGGGAGTGACACCTTTGGACCAGGCTGGGAAGGGTGCATGGCGTAGATGGCACTGAGGCAGGATCTGAGGGTGGACCCAGGTTGTAAGAATGAGGTACAAGGTTTAGAGGTGGAAAAGACACGAGGGGAGACTGAGTCACTCAGGGTAGGCTGAAGGTCAGGGTCCAGGGAGATGGAGCAGGAAGTGGGGCTGGCTCAGGAAGGGCACCGTGGCCTAGCAGGCCTGGGAACCTGCGATGAATGCTGAGGGCAGGGAGACGTGATGAGTGTCCAGGTCACAGGGCAATGGAGATGGTGACACAGGCAGGGAGGCCAGGCTGCAGGGATGCAGGACCCTGATACAGAGACAGGAGGGGAGGCCAGGCTGCAGGGACGCAGGACCCTGATACAGAGACAGGAGGGGAGGCCAGGCTGCAGGGACGCAGGACCCTGATACAGAGACAGGCATGGAGGCCAGGCTGCAGGGACGCAGGGCCCTGGTACAGAGACAGGCATGGAGGCCAGGCTGCAGGGACGCAGGGCCCTGGTACAGAGACAGGCATGGAGGCCAGGCTGCAGGGATGCAGGGCCCTGGTACAGAGACACAGGCAGACCCTGGCCAGGCCAGGCCTACAACACACAGGCCACAACTACTAATGGATCACACCTCAATGGCTGGCATGCTGGCAGCCCTCTCAGGCCCTGTTCTCAGTCCTGACCCTGCCATGGTGGCCCTGAGTTCCAATGCCCCCCACACCCAACAGGGGGTTGATCAGAGCCCCAGCTTGTCCCCCACTGGTGCAAGCTGCCCCTTTCCCCAGTTCCCCCATGCAGACAGGACCTGCCTCCACAGACTGTGGTATGCTCACAGGGCAAAGTGTCTCCCGTGCCCAATCTTACCCTCCCTCCCAACAGAGAGGCTTTAGGGACCCTGCCCGGTGCTGGGTCAACTAGGATCCACTCTGAGGGCCCAGTCCACTGTCACGTGCAGGACAGGTATAGTCACGGGGGGTCAGGGGACATGCCCTGCTCTGGCCACCAGCAGCACCAGCTGTGTACTGGGGCTGGCGGGCAGCAGGCTTAGGCCCTGACCACTAGGTTCCCCGGCTGGGGGAGGAGGGTGTGGGCGACACTGAGAGTGACCTCATGGGGAAGCCAGCAGCTGCAGGCACGTAGGGAGCGGCAGGGGCTGGCCTGCAGCCCACACTGTCCTCACAACTAGCTCCTGTGATGCACAGAATAATGGTCCACACAGAGATCCATGGCCAAGCCCTCAGAAGCTGTGGACAGTCCCTTGTCCTGTGCAGGGGAGCTCTGCAGGTGGGAGTAGGGGTCTGGAGATGGGGGATCATGCTGAGGACCTAAGGGGCCAAAAGGGAATCCCATGAGTCCTTGACAGAGGGGACAGGGAGTAGGGGGGTACGCGATGGGCTGCAGAGGAAGGAAGGGGATGATGGCACAGGCTCAGGAGCTGGGACAGACAAGGAACCGATTGTCCCCTGGAGCCTCCAGAAGGGAGCAGCCCAGGCTCGGGCCCCTGGGACTCAGGCTGCACTTCTGACCTCCAGGGCTGAACGGAGAAAGCACCAAGCTGTTTCAGAACACTGAGTATGCCGTGGCTTGTTACCGAGGTGACAGGAAGCGACCACCACCCTTGTAGGCAAAGTGGATGGCAGTGGTGCTGGGAAAGGGACACGAAGCCCCAACAGTGAGCTGCCCCACTCTGCCGGTCACCCCCATGTCAGCCCATGTCATCAGCAACAACCACTGGCTTTCACCACACCCAGACTGGCACACAGTGGCCAGGCACAGGTATGCAAACAGATTGGGCCAGGGGACTCCCAGCCTTTTGTCTACTGTTTCCAGGCAGATGTGTGGCTAGGTCCCAATTCCTGGGCTAGGGGCCACCCTGATCACATGCCCCAAGGCAGAAAACCTCAAGCCACACAGGCCAGCCAAGCTTCAGCCACGGGGAACCCCACATTCCAGTGAGGGGCCTCAGAAACACTGGCTGGGCAAGGAGTGGCCCCAGCTTTCACAGGCAAGCCAAGGTGGCTTTGTAAAGCATCTTGAAGTAGGAGCCCAAAGGGACCTGGTCCATTTTGCCTTCAGTGAGCAGCAAAAGGCAGAGCCTGAGGCTAAAGGTAAGGCAGCAGCTCAGCTGGCATTGGGTGAGGCAATCCCCAGGCAGGCAGCACCGGCAGCCCAGCAAGGAGGCTGCAGGGCTGAGGGCCTTGACGGCCAAGGCCACGGGGCCCACAAGCCAAGTACGCTGGAAGAGGCCCTGCCCGGGCAGAGACAGGCCGGGAGCGAGGACAGAAGGCTGGCTGCAGACAGTCGCCCACCACAGGCTGGAGGTTGCAGAGGGGCACAGGGCGGGACAGCAGGACAAGGGGGTTGCAGAGCCTGCCCTCTAGCTGAAGGAGCCAGGGCATGCTGCTGACCATAAGCTCTGCTGAGGTCCTGCCTCTGCCCAGGTGACCCCCCCAGGCCAGCGGTGTCAGCAGTTCATTCACCCACCAAAGCCAACAGGGCTTCCGTGTCAAGGGGAAAGGGCCCGTTTCCATTCGTCCTTCTCCCAGAACTAGCTACTTTGGCTGATTCCTGGGACAGGAACTGGGTGGTATTCAGGGTTCACCATACACCAATAATAATTACACTAATAATGACTGCCAAATGCTGACAAGATCTGATGTCATCAGATCTCACTTAGCCACATCGTCCCTCAAAGCCTGGAGACAGATCCTCCATTCCACACGCCAGGAAACTCGGACAACAGGGAAGTCCCCCCGCCTTGGGGTCTGGAATAGAGGGTGATAGGGTACAGGGAGGGATGGAGCCAGTGCTAAGGAAAAAGTTGGGTCCTGCAGGGAGGCAGGGTGGTGGAGAGGGGCCTGACTGTGCCCTAGGGAGCCTTCATTTCGGGGACCAGGACTTCCAGGCCATCCTGAGGGCCCACAGGGAAAGAAGGGGCATAGTCTGGAACAGTTCCCAGCCTGGAGCAAGGTTCCAGATGCCCCCCACCCACCCCAAAGCCTGCAGGCTGTGTCCAACTTCCTTCAAGGCCTGCTCCAGTCCCATCTCACAGAGGCATTCCCAGCTACCCTTGCCCAGCTCAGGAGCCATGGCAGCCCCTGGCAGCCTTCACCATCAACCCCATGCCACCTCTCCTGCTAAGCCAAACCCCAAGTGGGGAACTGGAGAGGGGTGGCAAGGAGATCTCTCCCCACAGCGGCCTCCTCTGCCACTGCCTGGAGAACGGCTCCCCGACTCCAACAACAATCGCCCCCCTTCTCAGAGCTGCTCCTGATCCATGCAATCCCCCACTGCAGGACCCACACTCAATGGTCACCCCTCCAAGCCTCAGCCGCCCACCTGGGCTGTGCCCTGGATTCCAAGGAGCCACCCTTGCTTTGCCGCTTGGGGAACTTCCTGTGGAGCCCCTGCACTGAGGTGTCTGCAGGTGTCACGGCCATGGCCCTGTGCGCATGTCTGTGGCAGGAAGAGTGGCTCACTCCTCGGAAAGCAGAGCCCCCCTAAGCCCTTCTTAGGCCACACAGCTAGCCTGGAGGGCAGGGGCCAACCCTGTTCTACCCATTCCTCTGGGCAGCCAGGCACTCGCACCCACACCCCTGGCCTTGCTCTGGGCAGAAGCTGGGGCACCCTGGGGTCCCTCTGGCACACCTCTCTGGGTATGGGATGCCCTCTGCACTGCCTCCTGCAGCCACGGCAGGAAGTATGCTCTGGCTGCAGCCAGGTGTGCCTCGTTCCAGAGTCTGCCTCAGCATGAGCCCTGAGAGGGTAGCTCCTGGGCCCTCTCTGGGAGAATCCCACCCTAGGGAAGCAAGCCAAGAGAGAACTGGCAAGTGTTAACCATCCTCCATCAGACCCGCTTCACCTCTGGGCCCTGGTGGCGCAGCCTTGGACCCCTGGCTCTGAGGTGCGCAGGTGGACCCTTGAGGGGTTCAGCCAAGATTCATCCTCACACAGGGGTGCGGCCCCAGGCCCTGCGAGGAGAATGCCCCTCTTCCCCTAGGCAGCCTGCAATGAATGCCAACAAGGTGAACCAGCCCTGACAGCAGGGGCCTGGGCCTGCACCCTCTTCCCCAAGCCTTGCTGCCCGGAGGGTCTCCAGACGCGCCTGGGAAACTGAACAGATGCAGGGGACAGGGGTACTGGAAGGGGGGCTTGCGGGAAGGAGGGAGAAAGCAGGCCAGCCCTAGGTGTCAAGCTTACCCCGGCGTCTACACTGGGGAAACGACTCCGGAACCCCCAGGGGCACGTGGGAAGAGACCCTGGCCGCGGGGGGCGGGGTGAGGACGACAGGCGTCCAACCCCCGCGACCCCAGGCCGGCGCTCACCTCCCTGGCCCCCGGCGCGCGGGACGTGCAGCCCCCTCTCGGCTCCGCGCTCCGCGTGGCCGCGCGCCCCGCACACACCCCTGGAAGGCGCGCCGCACGCGCGCCCGCACACGCCTCCCTGCGCGCCGCGCCTCCTACCTGCCGCGCCGCGGCGGGCGAGCTGGACCCCGGGTGCCGTGCACGGCGCGCGGGAGCGGAGGCTGGACCGGCCGCGCAGCCGCCCGTGGCTCCGGCCGAGATGCCGCCGGGGCCGGCCCGGGGCGGGGGCTCCGGCTCGGACTCCCCGGGTTCCGCCGCCTCGCCCCGCCCCGCCCCGGGGCCTCCGCCCATTTGGGGCCAGGGGCGTGGCCTCGCTGGGGCGGGCCGGCCCGGGCGGCGCGCATGCGGATTGGCGCCGCAGCGTGGCGCGGCCGATGGGGTCTGGGGCGGAGGGGTTGCAGCTGAGGGCCCCGCGCGGGGCCGCGGTCCCTTCCCCACCCGGTGGCGGCCAGCTCTCCATGCTTCCCAGCTCCAGCTCTGTCCTGGGAGAGCCTCCCTTGAGCTCTCCAGGCAGCGGTTGGCTGGGGGAAGGCTGTCTCCCACCTGCCCGCCCATCCTCAAGGTGCAGGGTCCTGACTCTTGGGGGGAAGGCTGGCTCCTATCACCGTGGGTGACCCTGGGCTGTGATGGGACCTGGACGGAGGGCTCCTGTAGGATTGTGTGACCAACTCCTAGAACGTCCTGGAAAGGCACTGAGGCATCCTGTGCAGCGGGGGGGCTGTGTCTCCCTGCGTTCTGGAGGGTGGAGCTTCAGGGATGAGCCATGCTCGCACACAGTAGGGCCTCAGGCATCAGATGCACCTGTGTCATCCAGGGCTCGTGTGGGCCCACGCCTCCCCTCCTCCCAGTCTCCAAGAGTGAGCTCATGGACCTCTCAGTCACCCTGCCTTGTCCAGCCTCTCCCTCAGGCCGCCCAAGTGTCCACCCAGTGCAGCTGCAGGCCTCGGCCCAGGAAGGCTCAGTGACTCCGCCCAGCAAGACTGTACCCTTACCCCACCCCGGATCCCAGCCAGGATCCCAGCCAGCTGCTCTGCACCCCTCCCAGGCAGGGTTCCACTGCTCACTGGCAGCCTGTAAGGCTCTTCCCTTCCCCTTGGCAGGGCTTGGCCTCAGCTGGAACACCACCTGCTCCCCAAAGCACAACAGCAGGCAGGCCCCATCCTCAGCATCCACCCTCCTCCAGGCTGCCCTCCATGCTGACCCCTTCCTGGTCAGCGAGGCAGCAGACGGCAGCACTTGAAGAGCCAAGATTTGGGCTCAAGTCCTGAAGCTGCCCTGTGACCCAGACAAGTCTAGCCTTTCAGAGCCTCGTTTTGCCTATCTGTAAAATGGGCTTTGTAGTGGAAGTATGTGATAGGGCTCCATAAAGGCCCCATCAGGCTGGATTGGGAGAGTCCAACATGTCTTGGGGTGGAGCCCACAGAACGGTGGGGTGTAGAGGATGCTCAGGTCCCCTTCTGTGTCCCAGTGCTGCCGCCCCAAGATAGGTGTCCTGTGTTGTGGCAGCAAGCATGCCTTCTGCCTAGGCTTGTGTGACCTTGAGCCAGTGACTCAACCTCGCTGAGCCCTTGCACCCTCACCCCTGCAACCAGCACGGAGCTCCTGTGGGTGGGTCCCTCCCGGGGGAGCCCTGGCAGGGCCCCTTAGCTGGGAACAGGTACTCAGCGTGTGTCAGCAGCTGCCATCTCTCATTGAGCTCTTCCTTGTGAATTCTGGGAAACAGAACCAGGCTCCCTGGAGGCCCAGCACCCACCCTCCAGAACGGTAGGACTGTGGCGGCTTCCTCTGCCTCTTCCATGGAGGAGAAGGAGGAGGCCTGGAGAGACGAGTGAGCAGTCTAGAGCAGCCAGCCTAGAGGAGGAGCAGAGCACTGAGAGGCCCGGAAAGGCCAGGGGAGACCAGCGGGAGCAGGAGGGACGGGCCCTGACAGCATTGTGGCCTCAGGACCTTGTGCCTGGCTTTCACAAGCTGAGTCATCTAATGGAGCCACGAGGGGGCAGGACGTGGTGGAGGTCTCCTAGCCTCCCGCCCACGGGAGCCCAATTTTGCAGATGACATGCCCCCGGGCGACACAGCAAAGGACAGAACTGAGACCGGACCAACCCTGACCACACTCTGTGCCCTCCCCAGCGCCCTCTCTGCCCTGGTCCTCCCCTGCTGGTGCCCTTGGCTGGGCTCCCTGGACGCTCTTTCTCCTCCACTTGTGGGAGTCTTGTCACCCTTCTCTTTCTGACGCTGGAGGACTCTGCACCTGCCCCCTGCCCCACATACCTCCCAGAACCTGGAGATAGAATTTCCTCGGCTCCCACCGGAAACCCCCTATTCCCTTGCTCCTGAGGCTAACAGGATTCCCAGGGGACACTCATAATAAATAGTACCTTCCCAGACCCCAACAGAGCTAACTGGCGAGCTGTTGTTTGAGAACCTCCAGGAAGCTGTGCCTTGGCATGGGGAGTGACCGTGAGTGGCAGCTGGAGGCCTGGAGGCGGAATAATTAAAGAATCTATCTCCTTGTCCCAGGTCCTTCGTCCACCTTCCTCCCTGCCAGTCTGCACAGATGGGGTCAAGACTGCGGTGCAGGGACAGGAGGGGCAGGCGAGGAGTCCTCAGACACAGGAGCATGGCCTTGAGTGGCAGGGCAATGGGAAGGCCATCACGCTGGGCACCAGGTAGAGGCCTTGGACACAAAATGGCCTTGGAGTGGCCCTCAGCCCGACCCTGTCCTGCAGCACTGCTTGTGTTTGTTATCACACTGCGTGGAAGGCCAGCTGGAGTGGTGTGGGGCTTGTTCCAGGCATGCAAGCTTGGCGTAGGCTCAGCAGCCCGTGAATACAGCCCTGCTGGCTTCCACGCTGCCGTGACCAGGTCCCCCCAGGCTTCCTGGCCTTCAGGCATCAGCAGCCTCTGATCTGTGTCTGGCCACCAGCTTCTGGGGACTCCCGGTCCTCCGTGGGCCCCTGGGTGACAAAGGCATCACCCAGTCCCTGCCTTCCTCTTCACGTGCCATGTCCCTGTGTCTCTCAGTCCACTTTTTATTTTTTCATATAAAGATTTATTTATTTTTATTGGAATGTCAAATTTACAGAGAGGAAAGAGAAAGAGAAAGATCTTCCATCCGCTAGTTCACTCCCCAAGTGAGCTGCTCGGAAGCCAGGAGCCAGGAGCTTCTTCTGGATCTCCCATGTGGGGTCAGGGTCCCAAAGCTTTGGATCGTCCTGGACTGCTTTCCCATGCCACAAGCAGGGAGCTGGAAGGAAAGTGGAGCAGCCGGGACATGAACTGGTATCCATATAGTATCCTGGCACATGCAAGGCCACTAGGCTACCGTACTGGGCCCCCACCGCTCCACTTAGTATCAGTCACACTGAATTAAAGCCCACACTGATGCTGTCATCTTCAGTTAATGCTCCCTGTAACGCCTTTACAGAAATCCAGTACCGTATTAGACAACCTTTTATTCCTTTAGCTGAAACTCCCACGAGAAGCCATTCAGGAATGAAGTCTATTCTGGCTTGTAGGGTGGAGGCTCAGAATCCGAGAACTAGGCAGAAAGCACTTCTGCCTCCAGAACCAGCCTCCGTCTGGGGCTGCCCTCTGGGGGCTGGCTCCCATGGGCCTAAAGACCTCCCATTGGGCTGCCCTGTCTGCTGCCGGGATCACATCAACGCTATACCTTTCGCCTGTTAATCTGTTAAGCATTAACCTAAGACCTGGAGGCTTGGATGTTTGCCCGGGTTTGGGGAGCCACGTCCAGTTCTAACCATCCCAATACTTTCAACCCAAACAGGGACTGGCAGAACTTTCTCAACAGGACAAAGGCCCAAGCTAAGGCCAGTGTCTTACGCAATCAAGAAGCTCTGGGGGCATTTCCACCAAGGTCAAGGACAAGGCAGCATGCCACTCCCTCCCCCTGCTGCTCCACCGCGTGCTGAGGGCTTGGCCACTGCCATCAGACAAGGGCATTCAACTGGAGGTCCAGTAAACTGCTGGCTGAGACCCCCCACCCCTGTCACAGTGCCTGGGTCCAAGACTGGTTCTGCTTGCAGCTACAGCTTCCTGTTAGTGTGCCCCCTGCTGGGCACCAGGTGATGGCGCAAGTACTTAGGTTGCTATGCCCCACGGAAAGTCCTGACAATTATAGCAGGCATTTAGGGGGTGGGCCAGCGGACGGAAACTACCTCTTTCAACTAAACAAAAATTAAAAGAATGGTACAGGAGATACAGAACTACTTTCAGATGGAAATGCTATTATATCTGAAAAATCCCAGAATTAATTCAGATAAGAAGTTCGGTGGTACAGCAGGATAAAATTAAATAGCATTTACATCTATAAGCAATAACCACAGGTCATAAAGGAAGAGACAATCCCATTTACAGCAAGAACAAAAAAAGATTAAATAGTAGTGAGAGGTATGTAAGTCCAATAAAAGGCAGTTAAAAAAGAATTCTTCAGAGGTCCGGTGGCGTGGCCTAGCGGCTAAAGTCCTCGCCTTGAATGCGCCAGGATCCCATATGGGCACCAGTTCTAATCTCAGCAGCTCTACTCCCCATCCAGCTCCCTGCTTGTGGCCTGGGAAAGCAATCGAGGACAATTCAAAGCCTTGGGATCCTGTACCCGTGTGGGAGACCTGGAGGAAGTTCCTGGCTCCTCGCTTCGGATCGGCACAGCACCAGCCATTGCGGTCATTTGGGGAGTGAATCATAGGATAGAAGATCTTTCTCTCTGTCTCTCCTCCTCTCTGTATATCTGACTTTCCAATAAAAATAAATAAAATCTTAAAAAAAGAATTCTTCAGAGACAGGAGAGAAAGACAAATGGGAAACAGCCCCACCCCTCCCTGTGCCTGGGTGGGTTATGTCAACCCAATAAATAGGTCAGTTCTCCGTGTGTTCATTTCTAAATTATAGATAACCTGAGTTAAAAAAAAAAACCCGCAAGCTGTTTTCTGAAACTATGTATGTTGATACTAAGGTTTATGTGGAAAAATAGGTAAGAAAAGCAAGGAGAGGGAGCTGGCTGAGCAGGCAATTCGGCAGAGAAAGGTAGAACTCAAAAGGGGGAAGCACTGGTGCAGGACAGGACAAATTGGAATAACCCAGAAGACTCAGAATCAGGCCCCCATTCCACCCTACCCCAGAGACTCGAGACGCCACCTTTGCTAACCACTGAAGACAGATGTTTTC